TGGTGGGGGGGTGACAGGCGCAGGGTTCCATGTCTGTCAGTACCCAGTGTGCCTAAGTCTAGGCACACTGATTTATCAAGTCAAAACTATTATTATTTTTAATAGAACTTTTATTATTGTTCTCTCGCCACAGTTTTACAATCTTTGCCTTTGTTCTGATGATTTGTGCTTGTTGCTTATGTGCGGACCACCTCCCGATCCCATCCATGTCGCCATGTGCGGGCCGGGAGCGATATGCGGACCCGTCTTTGCGCACGCAGGCTGTGGCCAGCAGCCCGGGCACGCGGGGTCAGAGGAGACTGTGCGGCAGCAAGGCACGCACGGGCTAGAATTAGTCACAGAGGCGTAGTGGTTGATTTAAAGATTGTTTACTTACACCAAAGATGGTCGCGGTGCAGGCAGGAAAACTTGCTTGAGTTACAGTTGCAGATACAAAAGATAAGAGGCGGACTAGAGTTCCTTCCCGTGAACACTCTTCTAGCCCATCCGGTTGGAGGCTCTAAACCGCGAGCCCATCGCGCCAACTGAAGAAAGTACTCGAGACAAAGAGCTCTGAATAAGCTCACACGAAGTTTGCTAGGCTCCGTGGGTCCTTGTGCGCGCAGGGAAGAGGGATACGTCGAGGATTGCGCTCGGTGATGGGGAGAGGCTAGAGGCTGATCAGATCCCTGTTGCCTGCTTTAAATGTGCTGGGTCCAATAGGCTCCGCAGTGCTTAGAGATCTTCGCACAGCGTGAAGTCTCCTCCTCCTGGTGTTCGTGCAGTCCTCCCTTGCGGGGGTCCTCCTCGGAGTTCTCCAACTTGGGCGGAAACTACCCAAGCCTCTTATATGGCTAGCAAGCCAATCACTAGCCGCCACGTGTGCATAATTTAACATTTACAGCAGAAAACTCCACCGTGCAAAGAAGCTGCAATTTAGCGGGAAAATAATTCAGTGGTGCCAAAGCGCGCACACAAACAAAAAATCACAACTTTGGGTTGTGACAGCTTAGATTTGGGTTTCAATAAGAGTCTCCAGTAATTTCTGCTTATGTGGTAGCATTTTTTTCTCAGTTTGTGCAGACTGTCTTGTTAAGGACATTTTGCATTTGAGTAAAGGGTGGTTAAAGCCAATAATGTTTTTGTTATATAGTTGGGGGGTTTTTCTAACACAGTCTGCCTGAATAAATGTTTGATGTCTTTGGAGCAGAATTGCCTTAGTCAAACAGTTTTCCACAAAGGTGATAATCAGAGTCCTGTGATTTCCCCCCCCCCCTCCCAATTTTATTCCATCAAAAACTAGAGATTAAATTCATACACTTCCTTTCCCCCAAATTTTTACTTAACTTTCTTAACAGCTGTAATTATTGTAACTTCAGGACTTGTTCACTGTTTTTTGTTTGGTTTTTTTTGGTAAAAATCCCATTTGTAAATCAACTTTACCTGTAGTAGGAGCAATGGGGGCTTTAATGTAGATGGCCATATGGTAACTTCTGGTATTTTTACCCTCTTGTAAAAATACCCTCTTTTTTTACCCTCTTACCCTCTTGTAAAAATACCGCCTGGTCTGAATAAACTTGGATATTATGATAAAAACTCTGGTGTCCAGCTGTACCAGCGAGGGTGATGATTCCAGAAGAGACCAATTTCTAGAAAACTGTGATGTATGCAGAGACGGATAATATGAACACAAATTGTATCTTGAGAGTTTATTAAAAAATGTGGCTATAACATGAACATAGAGAAAACCCTGATGTTTCATGTGTTCGTAACTGATTCTGCTTCAGATGAGCCTATTGCATATTACAGTTTTAAACCTAAGCTGTTATTTCAGTGTTTGATGTAATATAACTATCTTTTATTTTTGTGTTTATTTGAAACGTAGTGTCTACGCAAGTGGGGTTACAGACGATGTGAAGATATCTGCTGGATAAAAACTAATAAAAACAACCCTGGGAAGACTAAAACGCTGGACCCTAAAGCTGTGTTCCAAAGAACAAAGGTATGGCTTGACCTCAGCTGATCTAAACAAACTCCAGAGGCTCCACTGTAATCGATAGTTTGCGTCACTTCAACCCAGGGTTTTTATATTTTTTCTAATTTCTCTGTATAGATGGAATTATGTGGAAAAGTATTTGGCAGAATGGTTGATGAATTTCTCACCAATTCTAGACTCTACTCAAGTTGATTAAATATAGAAGTATCATCTGCATCCATTGCATCATGAAGTTCTTTTCTAGCCTTCTCAATGGTCTTATTCAGTCAAGTCTCATTGAAATGCAGATAGCTGGGGAAGAGGGTTCATGGAAATTCTTTCCCACTCGATCAGCCTGAGGGGTAATGATGGAAGCTGGCTCAAATGTTTTATTGTTTTCATTGTGCCTACCTGTTACTAGAGCTGAAGTTGATTGTTTTTGACTCCTAGGTTGTCAAATATTACAAACCCACTATTGATATGTAAATCAAAGATGTTTGAGCAAAAGCTGGCTAACCAAAAACTGTGGAAAAACAGGCTGGGATTTAGTTCCCATACTGGATTAGATTTATTTCATATTGAAGAACACTAGTTGCTTTAAATCAGAACTGAAATATTTATTTTTGTTCAAAGAGCAGCTTTTGAATTTTTAAATTCTTTAAAGTTAGGTTCTACTGTCAAAATAAGTTTTGCTTTTAACAGTTTAAAGTTGTGAAATATATATTTTCTGTGAAGTAAGTACATTCGGAATATAGTTCTGAATATACTATTCTCAGTAAAGTTGCTAAACACATTTATACGTTCTTTTATTTATTTTTTTAAATAATTTTTAAGACAAAGATTTTATTTTTAAGACAATGCTTTCTTAAATCACCATCTCCCATGAATGGCATGCAAGTATGGAAAATATTGGTTCAAACTAGCTAGATTTTTCTTTCTACCTTTCCTCATTTAGCACAGACCTATCATCAAAAAATAATTTGGAGAGCTCGGGTGTGTGGCCAGAGTTGCAGAAGTAAGTTAATTGGTAGTATTAGGAACTGTGTTGGGTTACACTGCTTAATGTAATTATTGGGACAACTCTGTATTGGTAAATATAGAAAGCTGTTGCCTTATAACTATTTAAACTTTCGCTAGCCTCAACACCTATTTCCTGTGCATAAATTCATTAAGCAGAAGCTGTGATCACTCATTAGCCCTAGTCTGCTATTATAGTTGAGCTCCATTTTCCCTTCATTTCACAGACAGGCTTGGCTGGGGATAGCATCAGTGGCATGCAGATTTTTGTTTCCAGCATCTGCTCCCTGCCTGGCTCACTTATCCCTGTCTTCCTCTGACTATAAGCAGACATTGGAAGCAGGAATCTGCACGCTGCTGCTGAGCTGGGCTCCCTGCACAGCTGTTTCCCACAGCTCCGAGCTGGAGCACTTAGATTCCCATTTGATGCAGGCCCAGGGGGAGCCCCTGTGCTGCCACTCCCTTTCTCTCTCACTTGCTGTCTCCAGTATTTGAGGTATAGGAAGTTCTGATTTAGAGGCTATATCTCTAACTTCCATGCTCACTAGTCCCTTTCCTCCAAAAATTTGTCTGGTCCCTTTCTGAATCTGGCTAAACTGTCAACTTCCACAGCATCTGGTGGCAGTGAGTTCCACACACTAATTACATGCTGTGTGAAAAAGAACTTCCTTTTTTTAGTTTTAAACTTACTACTTGATAGTTTCACTTTCTGACCCTAGTTCTTGTGAGAGAGAGTAAATAATAAATCCTTATTTAATCATTTCTCTTTGCCATTTAGTCTTTCGTAAACACTTGTCATGTCCCCCCTCAAGCATTTCTTTTCTAAACTGAATAAGTCTAGCCTCTTTAGTGTCTCCTCATATACAGTCCCCTCCATACCACTGATCATCCTTGTTGCCCTTCTCTGTACCTTCTCTAGTTCTTCTATATCCTTTATGAGGTGTGGGAGCCAGAACTGGGCACAGTATTCAAGGTGTGGACACACCATGGATTTATAAAGGAGCATAATAATGCTATTGGTTTTATTTACAATCCCCTTCTTAATAATCCTTAGTGTTTTGTTTGCCTTTCTGACAGCTGCTGAAGTGATGTTTTTTAGTGAGCTCTCCACAGTGACTCCCAGATCTCTTCTTCCCTGTGTGGTAACTAATGTAGAGTAACTAAATCCTTGGATGATGGTGTCGCTGTGAACATAGTCTTCCTAGACTTTAAGAAGGCCTTTGACACTGTCTCTCACCCCATCCTCATCAATAAATTAAGCAACTGTGGCATTGATGCCTGCACAGTTGGATGGGTAAAAATTGGCTGATGGGGCACACCCAGAGAGTAGTGGTGGACGGGTTGTACTCAACCTGGCGAGATGCGAGCAGTGGGGTATCCCAGGGTTCAGTCCTCGGGCCCGCACTGTTTAACATCTTCATCAGCGACTTGGACGACAGGGTGGAAAGCACGCTGCCCAAGGTTGCTGATGACACTAAGATGTGGGGCGAGGTGGACACACTTGAAGGGAGAGAGAGGCTGCAACTAGATTTAGACAGACTACAAAAGTGGGCAGACGAGAATAGGATGGGGTTCAA